ATATAGGAATCACATTTTGAACTGTTCATTCATGTTGTGTTATTTGTTATGGGTTAGTTCAAGTTCCTCGCGACCCTGTACGTAGGATAAGTGGTTGACGATGGATGGATGGATGGATGGATAGTTCAAGTTCATTAAATGTGTTGTACAGTATTGACTTCTTCAGTGAAACAGCCAAGGATACTTTACTTTGTCACAAAATATTGCATTTTTTATGACTGTACATGCTGTGTGTTTCGGTGACCTCCTCGTTCTCATACATCAAGCTACTTGACTGTTAACACCTTTTTTGAAACCAAAGGAGGGTAAGGGAGAATAAACATATAGACAAAACAGCCAAAGTCCTTAGTGATATTTTTACATGTAACCTGTAAAGCATGTGGCCTGTGAACCTTTATTTCAACAGAAAGAATCTTCAGTAGATGAAGATCTGTGTGTGTCACCCCATAGATGTTTCTGATTGGCTGGATTTGTGGGTTTGGCCTGACGAATGTCCACTGCTGACTGCTCCATTCACAACATCCTGCCTTTTTCCAGCAGTCCAGTACAGAAAATTGGCCTGCCAGACCCTTCTCTTGCCACTTGCTAACCTACATGCTCCCTTCCATGGCTTGGTGCCAGCAGTGGATCCCAGTTTCCTTTTCAACAGAGGAGAAATGGAAGAAGAGAATGTGTCAGTTCTAATACGGTAACAAAAGATGTGAGAGCAAAGATTTTGCAAGTGCAGGTTACTCATTCTCTGGCGGCTAAGCCCTCCCTGTCTTTCAATCCTATTGATGTCCCTGCAGATGGACACAATAACAGAATACAAATAACTACCTGTATAAAAAACATAAAATACTGCACATTGGTGCACAAAAAACAAACTTAGAAGAAGAACCTCTTGTGGCTCTCAGCAAACACGTGGTTTAAAATCTAGTTTAGAATATAGAGTTGTTTTTTCAGATCAGGTTAATGCTCTGAATAATTTAGCATGAACATCAAATGACATTTGGTTATACAGTATAACATCAAAATTGGGAGGTGCAGAATTTTATATGCCTTTTAATAGTGGAGTTTTGATAGTGACACTCAAAGCAGCCTTATACATGCTACCAAGCAGATGACAAAATGTTGAAACAATTTAATTGGTTTGTAAACACAAGAAACATTTTAATACAATGCAATAATCGTGCAGTTTACAAATTTACAAGAACATCCAGTAGTGCTGTGTACAGTTATTAGGTATAAATGTCTTACCTTTAGTTCCAATGGCCAAAGGACAGTCCTCTGAGGGAGAATCCTGGTGTAGTAGGAGTGGGGTGAGGTTGTAGTAGACCTGGTCCCAGTTCAGATTTCCATACTTGTTCAATTGTACTGACACCTTTTGACAAGTGCAGTCCTAAACTTAATTTCACCCTAAACGCAGTCTAGGTAGTAGGTTTGGCAGTGGTGGAAAGAAAGTATAAAAAGTATTTTTTTTTGTTTTTTTTATGTGACTTTTTACATCTACTTCTCCACATCAAGAAAAATGTTGTACTTTATTACTGCACTAAATTTATTTGACAGCTAAAGTAACTAGTTACTTTTAATATTAAAGCTTTTACACACAAAACATATCTAATTCTAAAATATGACTTATTAGATTAGATTAGAGCACACAGCATAATTACCTTCACCTCAACCAGTTACAACATTAAGTATTACACATTAATGTGTCAGTTCAAGGTCTAATTCGCAACACTACAAAACACTACAGAGTGTAGTCTAAACTAATATTTAGATATATATAAAGAAAATTGGTCGGTATGAACATGTGACTTCCTATTACCAATTTAAATAGTGCAGCGTACTTAACCAACATGTTCAATTTTAAGGGTCTAGGTGAAATTTTGCCTTTTATGTTGGTTGATTTTTTTTATAGCACTGAGGCTGCCCCTGTAATAGTTCTGGTTTGTTGGTGTTGACTAGGCTGGTAAGTTGTAAGGCAGTATGATCTGTAGACATAAACAGGTTCGAGTCAGTGAAGGAAACAAATCCAAAAGTGAGCAGGAAAAAAACACAAATCAGGTACAGGCTGAGGCAAAAACAGGCAGGTAGGCTGAGGAAAGGTCTGGTATGTTAAGGAGAGAACGCAACAGTTCATCTGGCGAAAAAGGGCCGGTGAGCCGGTGTTGACGGAATAAGGAGGGTCAGGTGTGGCAAGAGGAAAAGACAGGAGGAATCACAGGGTCTGGAACGAGGAGAGAGTTAGTACTGGGATATATGTGATAAATGGAATGAAAAAGTTGCATTTATACTTAATTCAGAATGAAAAGTGTAATTTTCTGGCCTTGTTCTGGCAGTGTTCTGTGACAATGGATGATGAGGACTGCTATCACCATGCAGCATCAAGAGACAATCCTGTCTCAATTCTTCCAGCCTGCCTAGTTTAATGTTTTGAACATTGATTCTCTATAGTATGTCAAAGAGTTAATGGTTTTGAGTCCCTCACTGAAGAGTAATAGATTTTTCACAGCAGACATTTTGACTTGTCATCATAGGAAAAGCATAGGTGAAAACATTAATGATGGCTCTGTTCTGTTCAAGTGTCCCAGTAAGCTATAGCAGTGTGACAGTGAGCCAGCATGCACAATAACAGAAACCTGAAACTGAAGCAGAAAAATGGAATTCAGAACACCATTCATGTTATTTACAGCTGTGATTTTCTTAAAACGTCTTCCTTGAAAAAACCTAGAAACACAAAAAATCTTTGCCTTCAGAAGTGGGAACAGAGTCCCGTACAACCAGGCCAGGAACACTCTGACTAAGGACATCAAAGCTGCAAAGAGGAGCTACGCCGAAAAGCTAAATAACAGCTTTGCAGCCAACGATCCTGCGTCAGTGTGGAGAGGCCTGCAGACACTCACCAACTACAGGAGACCATCCCCCAACACTGTTGGTCCTCAACAAGTGGCAGACAAGCTGAATGGCTTTTATTGTATGTTTGAAAAGCCCACAGTCACACCTCTCCACCACTCCAACACCATCTTCAATCAGTCACCTTCCCCCTCTGACACACTGCCACCCTCCTCTCTGACCCTCATCTGCACTCAAGATCTGTGAAGAGGACGTGAGCCACCTCTTCCAAAGGCAGAAGATCAGCAAGGCTCCTGGCGTCGACGGTGTGTCTCCATCCTGCCTGAAAATCTGCACTGACCAGCAGAGGATGTACTTCCTGCGCCAGCTCAGGAAGCTCAACCTGCCTAAGGACCTGCAGATCCACTTTTACACAGCTATAATCCAGTCTGTCTTCTGCACGTCCATCACTGTCTGCTTTGGATCTGCCACCAAAAAGGACAAGTACAGACAACAACGGACAGTCAGGACTGCAGAAAAGATCATCGGTGCCAACCTGCCCTCCATTCAGAACCTGTTCCAGCTTCTCCCCTCTGTTAGGCGCTACAGACCACTGTACGCCAAAACAGACTCAAGAACAGTCTTTTCCAAGTGAGTCAGAAATCAGCTGGTCATCATAGTGATGGCTTGCGTCACTGTGATGAAAAGCTGATTTCTGACTCACGGTGTCAGGAACAATTCTTGTGCAATAACCCTCTGTCTCTAATCAGTCACCTGTTTACTGGCTACCACTTATTATTTATTCACCATTCTATATTTCAGTGCTGTTCTGTTGTATTGTTATATTGTAGATGCTGTATACCAATCCACCTACCTCAAGTCATAACTCCTGCACAAAATAGTTATACTTATTTATTCCAGCATCCTTTGCACTATGCTTCATTGCACTGTGTACATGTGTACATGTATAAATGTATATGTACCTGTATATCACATCCACCTCTGACATGTACATACTCCTGCATCCTTTGCTCACTGCACTATTTGTCAATAAGTCTATATAGTTTTTGTTCATAGTGTATATTTGTGTTGTCTACACTGAAGTCTGTGTCTGATTTTATTTTAGTATGAGTAAGCACATGAGTGAGCAATGTACAATCCTGATTCCTCGTATGTGGACACATACCTGGCAAATAAAGCTGATTCTGATTCTGAAAATCTTGTTTTTATTGCAATCTAGCAGCTGAATGTTCACAACCCAAAAGTAAGCCCTACAAAGTGAAGAAGTGCGGCAACCACACTGTTAGACATGCAACAATCTGAAAAATGTTACCTACAGAGGTCAGTACAACCATAAGACATTAGCTTATCTTTTGTTCCTTGCTGTACCAGAAGTACATAATATACTGCATGTTCAGCATGGGTGATCCCCCATGACAAGACAAGATATAGCACGTTTGGTGTCAGGCTCAACCCAGAGTACATACACAGAAGTAACCCTGATCTTAACAAAAACACAGTAGTGTGTGACTACTTCTGACTCATAGAAGTGATACACACCACCCTTTGCATCCTGTGAGAAGGTCAGTGCGAGAATTAGCATTTAGTCATTTAGCAATGTTGTTGCAGGTTTTTCTCAGTTAAAATTTTGCAGAAACTCGTGTCACAACTGCAGAAGATTAAGAGGCTACAATCATGCTAGCTGCTCTGGGAAGCTGTACTAATAGGCACAAAACTGCTATGAGCTAAATGCTAATGTCAACATGCTAACTTGCTGATGCTAAGCTAGTATAATGTTCATCATGTTAGTTTAGCGTGTTAGGGATCTAGTCCTTGTTGCAAAACTGTATCTAACTTGAGCAAAGAAGTTAACCTCCAAACTGCCCCAGTGGAGCTGCTCAGTGACTTATATTTTCAAATTGCAACATTTTCTTTCATACAGATTATTAAGATTTGTGTGATTTTAACCAAAATGAGGTGTGCTTCTACAAATATGAAACAGAAATAACTGTCTGCAGATCATTATTATTTGTATTTCATCACTTATTTTTTACTTATTATTTTTGGCCATTTAACATTCAGTGAATTCACAGGTAATTTGTACATTAATGTTAGGTGTTTCTTAGTGATGCAATACCTCCACACTGAAAAGAAGAGTCAAAAAACAAAACAAAATAGTCATACTGAGTTATGCCATTAGCAAATTTAATATTTTTTTTTTTACAACATCCAGATGAATTCTCTTGGTCTAAATGGTAATGAATAAATTGATTTAGCCAGATCTTCAGAAACTATGTGATTTGTTAGAGGTATTTTCAGAAGGTAAACAGGCTTAAATGAACAGTCAAATGTCATTTACGGCAGGCTGGATTAAATCCATTCAATTAACAAATGCATATCGAAATCACTTTCAAGGGCAATAAATCCAATCTGATTGAGTTTATGACGCAATAGTAATACACTGATTATGAGTAATGAAATCACATAGCATCTATTGAATATTCATTAAAGTTCAATAGATGGTTTTGCTTCCTCCTCCTTTCGTGGTTTTGCTTCCTCTTCCTTTCTTGGAACATGGAAGTCCACGTATGGACACCACTTGGTATTAAGGCACACCAGTTTCTTCAAAGTAGAAGTTTTGATGATATTAAAGCCTGTCTCACCCCCAAAGGTGCTGGGTTTCCAGTACTCAGGGGAGCAGATGGGGTTTCCCAGCAGGCCTTTCAGGGAGAAGGGAGCACCCATCTCCACCATACTCTCACCAAATATGGCGTTAGGACGTGCTTTCTCCAGCATGACGCCGGGGTAGAGCTCCAAAGCATCTATGTCACCATAGAGTTCCTCTAAACCTCTGGCTATTTCTATGTCATCTGTTTGGGAAAGAAAAAAAACATTTTAATTAACTCAAAGCTTGTTACCCTTAATATTAATATGTTGCATATAATGTGTCACACAAGGATTTTTCATTAAATTAAATGTCTCATCTCAATAACTGCTGGATAGATTGCCATTGTTTAAAGACATTCATGGTGACCAGAAAATGAAGCCCTCTCACTTTGGTGATCCCCTGACTTTTCTTGTAGCGCCCCCATGATAGTAATGTGTCTGTCTCTAAGAGCCGGCTCTTTTAAGTTAATAATGAGAGCCATCTGAGAGCCAGTTTTGTCATGAGATTTTGTAAACTGCTAAACTTTATTAATCCTGAGGTTGTACAAACATTAGGAGTGCACGTGTAAAAATATCAGATATCCAAAACCACAAAATCTAAATATACAAAATGGCAAAAATATGATAGAGTTTAACAGTTTAGTAAGTTCCCCCAGAGAGGTTTGCAGTTATCAGGAAGTGTCTGAGTAAAAGGACATCCACACTATGTCACCTTCTTAAGCCTGCTGCCACTGTGACCTGGACAGAAAATTGATGGAAGGATGAACCAATATGAGAAAAAAAATTTCCACTCAAGTGAAGAAATTCAGGCAAGTGCAAAGAAAGCAGACTTGTCAGTGTGTTTGTGAGAGCTTCTGTATACCCATATACTGACAGAATTAACAAGAGTTACCACAGAAAAAAAATAATACATTGACTTGAATGTGTTCATCTGCGGTTAAGGAAAAAAATATTGACAAAATATTTTGTTGATGCAGGACCCAGAAAATACCAGTTATGGTAGCCTATAAATGTGTATATACCAGTTAAAATAAGCTCAAAGTCAAAAGTGCAAATACCATTTTACGATATACACATGTGAAAGAAAGGAAATGGGGGAGAATCCAAGAAAGTTTCAGAAGGAAGTTATAGTTATAATATTATTCCTGCTTACCAGTAAATTCATAAAAAGAGGTGTATGGCTTGAGGTTAAACCTCTTTCTGTATTCATTAAAGGGCTGCACACGCGCTGCTCTAGACTCTCTGATGACCATTTCTGCCACTTTGAGCACTACTTCATGAGAGTTGCGACCTCCACCTATCTGAAACATACAAAAATGTTACTACAGTTGAAAGTTATTTTAATAAACTATTCAGTAATACCAGATAACGCCCAGATAACCCACCAGGACTGTGCATGTTGATTTTCAGCAAGCAGAGATAACACTTTGTATGCACACGCTGCTGAAAGATACCTGAGAATCTTATCTTAAAGAAGTGGTTGCGTTTATGGTTATAAATATGTTTCACAATACTTGTGGTACGCAGAGACATCATCCCACAGTAGTCTGATGTTTCATACAACCCTGAGCAGATTAACTGTTATCTTTAGGACAAGTTAAAGCTGGGTTAGGCAACTTTAGCAACCGCTAGATTTTGAAAGTATCCAACTGAAAAAAATCCCACCCCCTCCCTTCAGGCCTCCCTCAAAACCTATTTCCCTAATGAAATGCTTGGCCATGCTTTTTACAGTCCTGCTACAGCTACAGATACTAGATTTTTTTCAGACAAAAGTCAAAGATAGGTTAAAAGCACAAGCTCTACTTCCTTGACAGCGTTTCCTGTCATAGCTTATGTATCTGTGATAAATGTCTGTCTGATGAGTCAGAAAACCTTTTTAGTCGCTTTGAACTTATGGTACAGATATGATTCATCTACAAATACGTGTTAAATATTCATTTTACAGTTGTCATTGTTGAATTACATTCTAACTGATGAATCAATGCAGAAATAGTTCTTTACTCTTGTTGCTGGTCAAGGTGGAACTAGTTTTAACTACTTTATATACAGTTAGGCAGTTTAGTCCAGTGGTCCCAAACTCTGGGGTCACAAGAAAAATCTGAGGGGCTGGAAGATGATTAATGGGGCAGGAAAGTTCTGCTACACAATGCTGGATTTTTTTTGAGACTTTTCTGTTACCTTTTTTTTGTTTGAGGGGCCCCAACTGCCTCCTTTGTATGAGGCCACAAGTGAAAATTTTTGGAAACCAGTGATTAAATATTGAACAATGCATTTTATAAGGTTATAACATGTGTGTTTATGTGAAAGCTTAATCTGAAAAGTAGCGAGTCAATAACCACTAACATTGGATTCTTGTACACAGTCACTGTATGGTACTTATCTACCTGCCCTGCAGGCTGTCGAGAGAAGGAATCCACCAGTTTCTCCACCCCGTAATGCATGAGGAGGGAAGTGTTGTAAATAAACTGGGAGTATGGGATTTCATCTCCATCAATGAGAAAGCTGTCAGGCATCAGCGGATGCCAGTGGTAGAGGTGGCAGAACTCCAGAGCGATGCGGTTGCTGTACTGGAAGCGCTCATTGAAGAGGAGGGAGGGATCGAACTTCAGCTTCAGCAGGTAACCACTCAATTGCTGGACGTACTCTTCGATTATAATGTTGATGATCTCCCCTGAAAAAATCGCTTGATGTCAAACATTATCAAAATAAAAAACATTTATATAAGCTTGAAGATGGAAATTTAAACTGTTAATTTGTTAAAACAATTAGAATTGCAACTATTAGACGATGAACTGATTTGAACTTTTCAAGCAAAATTGCCAAACATTATATAGTTCCAGGTTCTTAAATGTGAGAATTTTCTTGGTTTTAAATAGTAAATAGTATATTGAATAATTTTGGGATTTGGGACTGTTGGCAGGACAAATCAGGTGACTTTGTCAGTTTTCTAACATTTTATACAACAAAAAAGACTTAAACTGTTTATGTATGTCCATGAATCCCTCACCAATAATGATGAGTCTGGCAGTCTGGAAGAGCTGCTCATCATCCCAGGTGGGATGTTCTGCCTTCAGGATGTCACAGACTCTGTTATGCTCCCTGAGCCAAATGGTTGCGTACATAGTAAGACCCGGCAGGATGCCAAACACCTCCTGACCAATGGCCAGACGGTTTTCTGGAGGGAAACCTTCAGGATACACCATGTGCACGGGGACTTCAGATACTGTAGGAGGGTACATCTCACCATTTACTAACTGCGAACAAACAAAAACCACATCAAAATCCACATCGGATTTTTGGAAGTATTAAGGTTTGATTGAGTTCATTTGATGTTTAAATTTTATTTACTATTTCTTAATAAACTTAAATGCCATACTAGTTGTAAAAGACAGAAGTGTCGTGACATGTCGTGCTTGCGAAACCTCCTCAAGCATAGTGGCTTTCAGATAAAGACGGTTTGAGGAAGTTCCCTCTCAAACGCTGATAGCATGTCAAAGGCGTGATAACAAGTTGCTGTGATGCACAAAGTGACTGATTTAGAATAGGTTCTCTTTAACCACTTTGTCACTATAACTGCTATCTGGAAAATGTACCACATAATTCTTATAAGTCAACCTGATACAGGAAGTGAAAGTTATTTAAATGTCCAATATTATTCAAAATTTTCAGGTTAATACTTTTATTTGGCTTTCTACTAGAAAATGTTTACATGCTTTATTGTTCAAAAACACATTCTTTTTCTCATATAGTCCATTGCTGCAGCACCTCTATTCACCCTCTGTCTATACACGTTTTCGCGCCGGTGTCTTTAAAGCCCCACTCCCTAAAAACTTTTTTCTAATTAAACCATGCAGGAATCTTTGGGTCTACACTGCATGCACAATTCTTAGACAAACATCGTTCATCGTTGAACAAACACAATGCTCTCAGTCAATACAAAATATAATTGAACCTCAAACCTGAATGTTTAACTAAGGAAAAGTGAGTTTTGTCTTGCTCAGGAGAATATATTAGTGTGCAAAATTATTAGATAACCAAAATAATTTTTATCAAATTACTTGTTTATTCTCAATTTTTAGAGTCAGTGTAACAACACAAAACAATAATTAAATAAAAATTTTGGCCTTTCAAAAATATTTGTAACCATAGCCAACAATAGCTATCCTTCTTTTTAATAACTGCCATGAGCTGCCCATTCATGGAGTCTGTCAGTTTCTTGATCCATTCACGCTCAACTTTCACAGAAGCAGCAACCACAGCTTCCCAAATACTTTTCAAAGAGGTGAATTGTCTTCCCTGACAGTAAATCTCATGTTTAAGAAAGGTCCACAAGTTCTAGGTGAGGAAAGGGGCCAGGTCATTATTACATTTACATTTACTCATTGGCAGAAACCTTTATCCAAAGCGCCTTTTGAGGAAGAACATACAAGCATCAACAAAGCATCAAATACAGCACGGGATCTACAACTATTACGCTAGTAAGGGAAGCAATAAATACTAGTAAGAGCTACTAGCACGTATGGCATCATTGAGGTAAATACCTAGGGAAAGAAGTATGAGTTAACGAAATAGTGCAATCAATATAAGAAAATTGTAGGGGATAGAAGAAGAAGAGCACAGGAAGTGCATGCTAGAGTTAGAGGTGTTCCAAGAGAAATGTTCTTAGAAGAGATGAGTTTTCAAGAGCTTCTTGAAGTTAGAGAGGGACGCTACTGCTCTGGAGACATGTGGTAGCTCATTCCACTATCGTCGTGTCACAGACGAGAACAGCCGGGACTTAGATAGCCTTCTCTGTAGGGGTGGCAGAGCCAGACGGCGTTCGCTGGAGGAGCACAGTGGCCGAGAAGGAACGTAAGCTTGTATTATGGAGTTTAGATAGATGAGTGACTAGATGAGAATGACTCTCCTCTCTCCTCCTATCACTTCCTGCAGGTGTTTCTGGCTCTGGAGCTGTGGAGTCTGAATCTGCGGTTGTGAGTCACCTGCTGCCCCCGTGTTCCTGCTCGGCACCCTCTGCTGTAATTATTGTTACTAGTCCTATAATTATTGTTATTATAATCATTAACATTATGATTATTATCATTAACTACTATCATTAACTACTCACTACTGTAAATATCTGTAGCCCCCGGTCGAGGCAGATGGTCGCCCACCCTGAGTCACGGTTCTGCTCAAGGTTTCTGCCTCTTAAAAGGAAGTTTTTCCTTGCCTCTGTCACCTAGTGCTTGCTCCGGGTGGGAACAGAGTACGGTCTACACCTGCTCTTTTATGAAAAGCGCTCAGAGATAACTGTTGTTGTGATTTGGCGCTATATAAAAAAAATTAAAAAATAAAAAATAAAATAAAGAGTTCTGATCCTGTAGTCACTCTGTATGCAAGCACTTGAATTTGATTCGGGAGGCCATGGGTAGCCAGTGGAGGTCACTGAGTGAGTAATTAAGTGAAATGAGTTCTTTTGGGCTGATTAAAGACCAGACGCACTGCTGCGTTCTGAAACCATTTGTAGGGGTTTCACCGTCCTTGAGAAAAGCTTTTTAAAAATTGGTGATGTCATCACATTATAAAGTCCATGGGCCGAGAGGTAGCTAGTGAGCAAACACCACTGCACTCATTCAGCAGGCAGCATACCCTAGAAACCTTTTTTGGAAAATGTACTCCCTTCAGATACATACAGATACCTTTATACTAACAAACTAAGCTAAAAAGCAATTTCTTTACTACCTGATATTTCAGCTTTCCATCTTTATGAAGACGGAGTTGAAGCTGACGCGTGAGGTCATCTCCGTAGATATTGCTTGCATCTACCTAGGTAGAAAAAACACAACTTTTGCAATAAATTAAAGTCAAACACATGATGCATTATGCTTAATCCTTGACAGGTTTAATTGTTTTGGTTGTAGCTGACTACTGTATGTATCTCACCCCATGTCCTAAAGCCTTGGTGAAGCCACCTTCAACTTCATGGTTTGTCCTGAAGAATTGATGAGTGAAGTGCTGGGCCATGAAGGCAAACATCACATTGGTTCCCTGAGGGTCAGGCCTAAATTTATTTCTCTTAAAAAACCTCTCAGCCAACACTTTGGTATCCGGAAGAACAGATTTACCTGTAGAAAAAAAATATATATCAAGACATTCTCAGGAGCACAGTCATATGTGTGTAGTTGTGTACTGTAGGGCTCACCTTTAGTTCCCATAGGCAAAGGGCAGTCTTCAGGTACTGGAGGGAGGAGCCGGGTGTAGTAGGAGGTGTTGTAGTAGGACTCCCAGCTGAGGTATCCATATTTGGTATTGTAGGTTGGAGGGCTTGGAATAAGTTCACTTCTGACTTTGGGAGAAGGTGACAATAAGAAGTTTACTACAAATTTATTTTTCATATATTTTCCACATTTGCTAGTTCAGAACCTTCTGTTAGAATTAACAAACCATCATGTTTAGACACCTAAACCCAGGTAAGTAGCCTGATGTTCTTTGGTATAAAGTTTGTATGTGGATAAGGCTGGTGATGTACTACTTGTGTCTATGCATCCGGTTCCTGTTCACACTGCAATTTTAAAAATGAAACAAGAGAAGTAACCATGTCATTATACAGACTGTCAGGTAACTTGTTGATTGGACAGCTTTGAAGATTGTCATCCTGCTTCATCAGCGCATCATCAAATCAAATTCCGGTGATTGACAGAAGTTTATGCAGCACTTCTGTATCTGTATCGCAAAGAGCTCAAGAAGAAATAAGTTATTATAAGCATGATTAGTAATTTTAGAGCGCAAATTGACCACATATTATGTATAATGACGTTAAAACAGGACGAAGACGAGGCGTCTTGTAAGTAATAATTCGGGGCTTAGGCCTATTACTGTGGGATTGCTGTCAAAGTAGGCAACAAAGAGTATTGGCCCCTTTTATAACAGCTTATAACCTATTAATCAGGGAAAATATGTGGTTAAGTAGGCTATACGTGGTTACTAAATTATTTGCAAAAACAAAGCCTACACTTGACTTATACAGATCAATTATAAGATTGCTGAACACATTTCACAGAGTCAGCAGATGTTATTAGTGGTTTAGCTTTAATGCTCAGATCACATATCTGCTATCATAAAATCCTGTGGTTGGTTCGTTTACTTTCACATCACAAGCAAACCGCACCAGCGTTTCTTTGAAAGTGTACCGTGACCACTTCTTCAAGGTGGTCTCGGTACGCTTGTTTGGTTCACTTTTGGTGTGCGATTCAACCGAGCTAAACAAGGCAGGTGTGTGCTTATTGTCAACCATGAAAAGACCCAAACCACCAACTAACTGATCCTACAAGCTTGTACTAGTAGCCTACTATTTATTGTCTGGTCAATAACCACACCTTTGCGTTTGGTCACATGTTCCTTCATTACAAAGAACATGGGCACAGTAGCTTATTTTTGTTCATAGATCACCCTGCAGCTGTAAATACTCGCTAACTCACCAGTGTGTGTGTGTGTGTGTTCATCCGCAGCTGTAAATAGTCCTTGACAAATGCAATTTACGTATGTTTGAGTAACATTTGCTAAAACACTACGGTGCCCAGCTGTTTCAGGAAATTATTCAGCCTTTAAGGGACCTATTTTTGACAATGACCATCATCTGTAGGCACCAATGATAATGGGGTTTTGTGCAATAATAAAAGTAGAATATAAAATAATACCAGATTTAACCTTCAACTCTGCTCTGTCTGAGTTTGCATGCAAGGAATACAACAGTCCAAAGTGAGAGCATGCAACTTTGTCTCTTGGTCAAAGACAAGACAAGATTTTCTGATTATTAACTGCTTTTGAGTTGATTCAACTATTTTGCATCTATACACGCATGTTTATATATAAATATAAATCTACATATCTCTTCCTTTTTTTGATGGCCTCATGGCAACAACATGTGCTTCTCACACAGAATAATTCTACCACTATCCCATCAGGCCTTATCTAAAACCACCTTTAACTCAACAATATTCATCGGCATGTGTCTCTACCTTTAAATACATCAAGGCTGATTCAGTTTTATACCTTTAACCATTTCACCTACCTGTCAGCACTAATCTCATGATTGTGTCTTGCAGGAAACAGCTGTTGACAAGGTCCCAAAACCACTGGAAGTGGGTGAGGATGAAGTGAACCACCCTAGGACTGGGCTTCAGCATAAGACGAACTCTGGTCCAGAACTCCGCTGCTCACAAAGACAAAGATTAAATATATTTTGTACCACTTCTAATTAGGGCTGGGCAATAAAACAGTAAAGACGATTATTGCAATATTTATTTTCCTCAATAACAATATAATAAATGTTCAATATATCGTCAATAAGTATTTGGTTTAATTAATTTGAATCACCAACAAATTTGCACTTAATTTTTCTATTAAAATATTTATTTTGTTGAGGAAAACTACTGATTACTAATCATATTTGTTAAATTTCTTCTATCATAATAGTTTTGAATGTTCTCCCTCAGATTGGTTAAGTGATCCACTGTTTGGCATCAAGTGTTTGTCCCATTCGGACCATAAAGAAAAGTTGAACCACGTAATTAACCATCTGGTTTCTTCAATGTTCAGTCAGGAGCAAAAATCAGCCTTTAAACTTGAAAGAAATAATGATTTGACATTTATCGTGATGATTATCGATATCGAATGATATTAAATGTTTTTATCGTGATAAAATTTTTAGCCCTATCGCCCAGCCGTACTTTCAATAAAGAACTTTTTGTAAGTGTTTTCTAAGTTGTGAGTTATGGCTATATAAATGCTAATAAATAATTGATATATAAGCCATTAATATTACCATTTGTGTTGCCAGGTTGTAAAACACCCTTTGGCTCCTCCTCCAAAATAACATTTGTTTTATGTTTTTAGCTCTTTAGTTTATAATGTGAAGTTTTTTGTTTGTTTTTTTACCATTCATTACTCCACATGACTAACTAACTTTTTAGAACGTGACAGACCTGTGAACCTTTACAACTTATTCATATTTGCAACAGCAAAACTAATTTTTTATTCTACTGTATTAATTACTTATTAACATTATTAACATAACGGCACGGTGGTGTGGTGGTTAGCACTGTCGCCTCACAGCAAGAAGGTTGTGGGTTCCCGCAACCCTGTACGGTAAGCGGTTGACAATGGATGGAAGTACACAAGGTAAGCGTTAGTGTAGTGTTTCTGTTTAGTGTTAGTTTGCCCTAAAACCACATTAAAGTGGCCGTTGAGCTAATGGCGGTAGTTGGGAGCTTGACCTGACTTTCACTTGGAGGGCACTTGGCCTATGACTTTTAAATGAACCCACACGTCGACACCCAAGTTTATGCCAAAAATGTTAATTGCTGTACTTACGAACAGTGCAGTTGTCTCCATAGAAGCCAGTGCGAGTGCAGTCACATTGGTAGCGGTCTGTACCAAATCTTACACACACTCCTGAGTTCTGACATGGGTAGTAACAACAGGGATTCACTGCAAACGAGGAAAAAGATCATGTTGTTCTGTATGACTGAATCATTAGTATAATGTGGCCTGTGCTAAACTAAATGGCTGATAGTACAGATTGTGTATTGACTGAGAGTGATACTGAAACAAGCCTGGGAAACCACAGACAAACACAGCCTGTGTGTGTGTTAATATATGAAAGAATTAAATCTTACCCTTTTAAGCTAAAACCACCTCCTCCAAATGTAACCAACAGTGACCTAAAGGTTAGAGAAGGCCACTGCTTCACCCTCCCTCATTACCACCACCATGAGCATGACTGCAGTTGTCAGTGTGAGCCGTTGAAACTACCCTGGATAAATAAAGTGCTTTGCATGCAGCTTTTTGACACAGAGTACAGTCTCTTCACAGAAACTGCTTAACTAAATCATGACTTCATTGTTTCTGGCCCAACAAACTGCTGTGTGACTTCTACCTAACCACATCTTGAACATTCTGGGGAGTTGTAATATGGCTTCCTGTTCTCTGTTCATACTTGCAGAAGTTCAATAAGATAATGTGACACTGCAGCTTTTTCTTCCTCATTAGCTATGAATAACACGATAGATAAGCATGTCTGAGCCCACGCGAACAACAAATAGTTTTATGTTTCTAAAAGGAGAATGAAAGTGTATGAATGCATGCATGTTGTTGATATGCAGGTCTTACTCAACCAGTGAAGGCCAGGAAGCAGATGAATAACTATGGACATACTTGCATCCAGTCCAAGTCAGAAATATTTAGTTACATTTTGCAGAATAGCATGTGCAGAAAGAAAGAGAATTTTAATGCTGCATATTTTTGTTAAAAATCCATGCACGGTGGTGTCACATTTTCAGAATTCAGACAGCTATGACCTGTAGCTAGAAATTAAAAAAACACAGATGCTGTTTCCACTATAAGGTACATGGCATTTCTGTAACCTTCATTAAAGATTGAATAACACCCAAAAAATCTATCAGGGGTCAACAGAAGCGTGCGAGCCTGGAAATGTAACAAAAATATGTAGCATCTATTGTCAAGACTTAAAAATGTTAATGGAAACAACCATTAACTGAGTAAGCACATAGCAGCACACCTTACAATAATCACAGAATATGGTGTAATATTTATAGTATTGTATATTTACTAAGCTTTATAAAAGAGAAAGAAATAACTACACATTCATTGTGAAATACACTTACTACATGCTCAAACCAAATTCTCAAGACTTGCAATTATGGAAGAAAAAAATGCTTACCAGCACTTGAGTCACCAGCACATGATGAGCTCTCCAGCAGCAACAGGTTGATAAACACCCAGATGGAGAAGATGTTGAAGTCTACAATAATAATAAAAAAATTGTTGAATATTTAAACTCAGTCGTGTTTTGTGTTTAAATAAATAAAATAATTCATAATTATTTTACGACTCACCTTTCATGATTCAGAACAAGAAATAAAAATTAATTTTGGTTCACTGGGTTATTTTGTGTCTAGAAATGAATTTGAGAGACAGGGGTTGGCTACTCTCTCCATAACAACTCTGAGGCCTACTGATATGGTCTGACTGGCTTCTTAAAATCAACCAAAGGCGTGGTACCACAGTTTCCTCTACTTCCTCCATTTGTTCTGCAGCAGATATGATGGAAACTGCAATTGGCACCAAATCATTTTGATTTGATCATTTTTAAACAACAAAGTGTTCTCAGGATACTGTTTAAATGTGCTTTTTTAAGTAAAAACTTCTGTTTTCAAACGCTGAACACTATTTATCTGTCATTTAAATCATTAGTGAGTGACAGGAAACAGAACAGGGTGATGCTTCAGGAAGATTTCTGGGTGCTCTATCTCCACCTACTGGCAAATTAGTAACATTCAATTTCAAATTGAATTCATTAAAAACAATCGAGCTTTACATCATCACTTACACATGTCCATACTAAATATCCCAGTACCCCTAAATCTCATGCTGATGTAATATTATGTAAATCACTTTTATGTTGCAGCTGGTGAAGGTGGGGATCATTTTAACTACTTAATACACTGCCTGGTAGCTTGAAAATTTCACGTGATCAAAATTTTTTTATTATGTTTTATATTAATAATCTGAATCTGCAAAGTAACTAGTAACCAAACTTGTCAGACAAATGTAGTGGAGTAAAAAGTACAATATGTCCCTCTGAACTGCAATGGAGTAGAGGTATAAAGTAGCATAAAATGGTAAAGTACAAGTACCTCAAAATTGTAGTAGTACAAAGTACAGTACTTGAGTAAATGTACCTAGTTGTTTCTAGTATGTCTGAGTTTTTTGGGATTATTGGGGGAAAAGACACTACAGTACTGAAACAAAGTGGCTGTCTCTCTGATCTTTGATACCTTCCCGCAGAGACATTAATCTCAGCCAAACCTGTGGGAGATTTTTGCCTGTTGAAGTCTCCTGCATAATATCCTGCATACTGTAGCAATTTTAGGACAAGCTTGTCTACAGTGTCCACATGGAGATAAGTTTAATCTTTACCAAAACATGTTCGGGTTAACTCTTACAAACTTTGCAGACCTCACCTGCCTCAGCTCTCTCTGAAGATCCTGTTTATTTCTCTGGAATAATTTCGCTGAAAAATATATCTGCCATATGTTAGGATTGATCATATAATCTTCCCAGCGGGAATCCCGCTCCTAAAGGTAGGCCTACACATAGTCTAGGTGGATTTGAAATAATTTGACTCTGGCCGCCATGTAACGACTTGAAAAACGACTTGAAAAAACTATGGCCAGACTTATTTGCCGACCCCTGGAGTACTGTGTGATCCATTTTTTCTCCAGAGGACTACTTTTTAGCTAATACTCAGAAGTACCTGTGACCAACATGTTTTACTGTGTCCCCTGTAATGTCATGTGATTATATATTGTCATGTATTAACTGCTGACTGTCTGTTTAAAATGTTGTTGTTTTGTATGAATTGCTTTATTTGTGCATGTCCTACTCTGCATGTCTCTTGCCCTACTCCTTTTAGCCTTGTATCCTCTTTTCAGCTGCATCATGTATTTGGCCTGCTTTGTTTACTTAGCATGTTGGGTTTTTTTAATGCTTATGTTCCCATCTGGCCAAGGGACAACAGCTGGAAACTATCCTTTAGGCTACCACTCACTGTCACTGTAAAACTAAGTAAACCAGAAATATTATTATATATATATATAATATTTCTATATCTTTCTCTGTATGACACTGTCTTTTACACCTGTTTCTCTAGTTGCATGTTGTTAATTTAGCACTGAATAAACACATTATCCTGTTTACTGAGTACTGTATATGGAAAGAAAGACCATCAATTCTGCCTTGACCCCTCTTTTCTGTTTGTTTACCTGTTTCACCTAAATATGTCAAACATTTTAGCTTTCAAGCACTTATATTTTTAATATAAGTGCTTGCTCTGTTTCTCCTGCTCTTTTTTTGAAAAGTAAAGTAAGATCTTACAAGTAGGAGTAAATGAGTAGCAGATGAATGCAGCCTACTCAATTTACCCCTCCCACTTCTTAAATGTTTTCTAGTTTTCTAGGAACTGCAGGAATGTTTCAACTGCAAAGACAACTCTGCATGAGCACACTAACAGTCCTCAATTGTGACAGTTCACTCTGAACACATTTTGAACTAAGCACCAAAAACGTCTTTTGGTGTTTAGTCTTGAAGTTTGTTTGGACTGTGGGCATCCACACATCCATATCCCTCTTCGGTGGACGTTCAGTATACCAAGCAGCCAACCAATCAAACTCCGCAGCTTCAAACAGCAAACTTACATTCTGTTTCCTAGACATGATTGACATGAAAAAGAATGAGAGGCATCAGGAACTAATTATCAAATCATCATTTCCCGCCTAACAAGTGCCTGAAAAGAACTCCTATCTGTGCAGGGCTCGTCGACGTGCTGCTGGTTGCCATGGTGCTGTTGGCGCAGGCTGCAGGCCTAGGCTCACTGCTTCCTATAGCATTCCTGGTAATTGAGATCAGATGCTCCTCTGACTGGAACCTGGACTGGGAGTAACCTGGAAGCATTTATTTTATGGAGAAGATGTTTAGTTAAGCCGTGCTCCCGCTCTAAATGAGCCTCGGTCCGGCTCTGGTGATGAATACGATCGGTGAAAGCACTGAAGGCTGGTTCCTGACTTCTTCCTTCCCCCGGATCAGGTTGCAGATTAGCACACTTCCTGTCCAGTTGTGGAACAAGCCAATCCAACTAACGGAGCAGCGATAGGCGTACAGGCGAGGCCATCATGTGTTATCCCAGATGGGGTTTGTGACAGAGCCACACAGCGGTGGGTCCTTAAACAGCCCGCCAGGTATCATTTGTTAAACTTGTTAGGAGAAGCAGCTGATTGTAAAGGAGGACAGACCTCCTCTGGAGTCAGCTGGTGGTCCACTCATAGGAAGTGGTGGAAAGTAACATTAACTCAAGCAGCCCAACTTTACTTAAAACTACACTAATCAATACTTATATACCCAATATTGTTGTTGTTTTTTACCTTTATTTAACCAGGAGTATTAGACTCATTGAGGTTTAAAAATCTGGCCAAGACAGGCAGCAGAACAAATTACAAATCACTTTAAATGCGTCCAGTGAGACCAGCTCCCGAAGATTCATGTGATTTGGCAACTGATTCCAAGCCGAGGGAGCAGCGTACTTAAACACCCCTTTTTCCAGTTCTGACTCTGGGGACAATTAATAGAAAAAATTCCTGGGAGCAAAGACAACTTTGTATACTTTATTTTGTCGGATATAGATCTGTAGGTAAGAAAGAAACAGTTGCAGAACAGCCTATGCCAATGATTGAGTCTACATTGTATATAAACAATGGATTAAATGATGAGTGACAAACCCACAGAGAATTCTCTGCAGTCCCACTCGCTGCAGCTTCCTGGAGCTTTTTAGTCACTTTTAGCTCATTGTTTTGTTTTTGTAGCTACTGAGCATAGCGGAGCATATACAGTATCAGCTAACAAGACTAAGGCTGTGTCTGAAACCACTCTCATGTTCACTCTTTCACTACGTCTTTTAAAATAGACACTTAATAGTTTACTCAGTATCGAGCAGTAAATTAAGATTTCAGTGGATAAAGAATTTGGGCACTCATAAAATGGGGGACAGTAAATATGGTGCACCACATAGTAAACGGAGTAGCTTTGTCTAGTGCAGCTCTGTTGGGGCTGTACTTGAACTAAATGCTAATGTTAGCATGCTAACATACTCACAATGACAATAGGGCCACTAACATGCTGATATTTAATGCGTAATATTTACATATTCACCATTTTAGTTTAGAGTGTTAGCTTGCTAACATTTGCCATTTAGTACTATACACAAAGTACAGCTGATGATGATTGAAATGTGATTAGTTTTGCAGCTATTCATAAATCAAAATATTGTCCAAATATACATTTCGCCCTGATTATGGCAAAAGACGAAAGGTCAGGGAGTGATTATAATTCATTCTGAGGAGGACATGGACATCTGAACCAGATTTCATGGCAATCTGTCCAGTTGTTGATATATTTCATTCTGGACCAAACTGTTAAACCAATCAACAGATCAGCAGCCTAGAACCAACAGAAAAGCCAGATAGAGAGTGAATATGTTCGTTGGGTGGTCAGAAACACGACTCCAAATGGATGATAATGTTGCTTTGTGTCTCCTAGATGTGTAAAAAGCCATATTTGATAACACGTTCATGCAACTATATAAGGTGACAATATGTCAGGGTTTTGTTTTCTGCTTGTTCTTATTTAATGCAGCTTTAAGTACAGTTTGAAGTACTTATTTTCATTTCATGATGCAGAGAGAAATACTTTACTTTTTTTTTACTGGTCACTTGGTAGATTAGATTTTTACATACAAATCATATCATCATGATGACTACCTGACAGTAGACTACATAAGATCTCCCTCCTAATGTAACTCTTTTTTATTCAGTTAGAGTCTGTTTTGATGTTGGCCGAGTTTTATTTGCTCATATGCTGCAGATTATCACTCAATGTATCCGTGTACGATGGCATTCAAAACCCTCAGACATTTACACTACATGCTGCAAACCATTTGAGATCTGTGGGAGGAGCAAGCTTTGGGCTCATTCATCAGCTGTCAGCGAGCTGGCACAGTTCACGAAAGAAAAACACCCCCTCCTCTCACTGTAATGTAGTCACTCTGCGCACACACCACATTTGAAATGTTCACGGTTTCATGCGTGTAAGTTAAAGGGTGCGTGATACACAAACACTACAGTGCAGTTGTACCATGTCTTAAAATTGGTACATTCATAATGTGCCCCTAGTGTTACTGTCCTCTGGCACTCTCTTCTTTGACAACCTCCTGCTGAATGACCAGAGGTACTATTTTCAAAACAAACTGTGAGGGAAATCTGTTTGTGCTCCAGGTTATAGATCCTTTTCAAACCTCTTTTGCCAAAACACCCGTCTATTTCCTGCCCCACCTTCCACACTTCCCCCAGTCCATCAGAGAGTAAGCGTGCCCGGCACCAGCCACCTCTACTTGACACAGCTCGACCCCGCCGCTCTACACCCGGAGTTGCTAGGATCAACAGAGCTGCAGGATATTGCAGTCGGCTTCAAACTAAACACGCAATGCGTCCTCCACTAGTAATCTCCACGTTGAGTCTATTTGATGTGACAGTTTAAACACTTGAACTCAGAGCTGGCCTGTCTGTCGGAGAAGGTTGGGTGGGCCGTGGTGGGGTGTGCATGCACTGACCTAAAGGGTTTTCCGTGATTAGGAGCCCTGTTCACCTCTGATTGCTCCGGGTCACTGCAGGTGAGTGCAAGTGGTCGGAAGGAGGTAATTTTCCTTCTGGAGATGGTTACCTGATTGGGTAAGTAGCTGATCTTTGACATTGACCCAAGTCCTCAAACATATCTAGAGCTGAGGTAAAGAGCTGGATCCTGATCAGAGGCAAGACTGGGATTAAATTAAATCACACAGACCTATAAAAATATGTTCTGCTCAGAAAATGTAACCTTGTGTGTATTACTATCATGGTTGTGCTGTTAGATAGAGTGCTGTGGAATTATTTCGGCTACAGGAACCTGACTGAACAAGATTCTTCTTTGTCTTCTGCCATTGCTTACTTTGTTTCACAGCTTATTGCCAATGAGGAAAAGAAATGTTTCTTTCAACTTCACAGATAGTGTGAAGGACTTCTCTAGTAACGCCGCCTTCAGCCTGAATACTCAGGAGGCATCTCACTTTGTCGTGAGTCCAGTTTGTCCCCTGCTAGTCAACATTTTGGTAATGAAGTCACCAAACTAGGATGAAAAAACTTTTTTAACCAATGAAATGTATTGATTGCACTTTTTTGTATTGATTGCCCTTTTTGTTAACTCTTACTTCCTTCCCTAGGTATTTACTCCATTGATGTGATATGTAACATGAGCTCTTACTAGTATTTATTGCTGCTCTTACTAGTATGTATTGTCAGTTGTAGATCTGTATTTGATGCTCTGTTGATGCTTGTATGTTGTTCCTCAAATGTAAGTCGCTTTGGATAAAAGCGTCTGCCAAATGAGTAAATGTAATGTAAATGTAAATTAAATAACATACTGTAGATACAATGGTACGCTTCCTATTATTGATTCAAATGGTGTTCACACCAGAAATTAAACGCTCCAGAGTTTACAGTTCACGGTTTGAGACCAGGGAGTGGTTATTTGGTCCGCTCCAGAGTTCAAATGCAGCATTCACACCAACCCAAACCAAAAGGGTAAACACTCCAAGGTTCGGTTCAACCAGACTAAACAAGGCTGGTGTGAACCTGCCCTTACACTCATGTAGCTCCTTAATGGCTGGTTGTGTAATTAAGAAACTGTTTACTAACAAGTTTGCCATATCAACATAAAAGGTGATTATAACAACTTGTTTCCACTGCCCCCAAGTGGCCAACAGAATCAGCTATTGCAGGTTTGAATGTTGGATGTAGCCTGCTAATCATTTGTAAGCTTGTACTGTAAGATGTGTTCTATGTAAATTCCCTTTCAGCATAAACCAATATCAATGTGGGTTTGGGAAATCTTGAGGACATCTGTACTTCTGGATGTTTGTCTCTTTTGGTGTGGTAAAACAAGATGCAATTGAGGATACACTTAATTTCCCAGTGCTCACTGGCCACTTGAGGGGTTTGTACTTTCACTCAGCAGAGGAAAAACATCAGCTCTTTGCTCCCTCCTTTAGTGGAATTGATCAGCTGCTTCCTGGCTGTAAATAAAGAGGCATACTGTAATCCACTTGATAAATATCAAGCAGAATACAGCAATCAGCTGAAAGCAATTTACATGTCTGTGCTCAAGCCAGCGGCTTGTGATTTTCTCTCCTGTCATCTATCATAGACCACACATTTGGGCCAAAATACACAATACCCCCAAATTGCTGTCATATGGAGTGCAAGCCCTGTAAAAAAGCCCTTCATTTTTTCTTGTCTGTACTTCAAATAAACTTGTATTTGTTAAATAACTGGAGAAGGGTTTTTTTTCTCTCTAGTGCAACTTTTCAGAGAGAGGGATGGTGTAATGTGCCATTTCCTTTGTTTGTTGAAAGCTTGGCTGCAGGACTGTAATCTCGACGGGTTTGATCTTAGAGTAGATGCAGCCTGTTGAATCTTGGACGAATGCTGGATGGTGAGTCCTCAAACGTCAAGCTGATTCTGCAACAAACTTCCGTAGGCAAACGTTCACTCGCTGGAGCATGTCTCAGTTTTTTGTATTATGCATCTTCACATCCTCAGCAGTTACCCTCTCTGAAAAATCTTCAATTTCCAAGCACATATCACAAAGAAGGAACAAACATTCAGCAGAGACTTTTTGTGAAAGGTGCCATAAAAGCAGTTTTTTTGTCTGACATACCCTCCCAGCTCTGTCAGATGAGCTCAAGCACCTCGTCATTGGCACCATCATGTTCCAAATGTGTTCTAATGGATTTTAAACCAGATGTTATTTAACACTATTCATTATACAAAAGTAGTTATTGTCAAAGTATTTTTCCAGTTTTACAGGTGAAATGTCAGTGTGTGTTGCCTCGGTTAAGTTTACTACTACTACCATTTATTCATCACTTTAAGCTATTTAGACAATTTTAACCTTTTATTCA